CACTTGAAAAATAGGTATAAAGAAACAAACCAGGAGTTGCAGAATTGTAAACGTTTCTTCTTTAAAAACTACTCTGTGATTCATCTTTTATCAAAAAAAGTGAGCAATTAATTTAATAGTCATAACAAAAAAAAGATCTTTAGAATTCTTAGTTCAAATACTACAAACAATGTCCCTTTGTGGCAGAGTAATACTTTTTCTAGCTATCACAGCACATAAATACATCAGATGTAGGGTTTCATATTACCCTTTAGCCATGTGACGTGTGGATGTTAAACAGACATGGGTGGACGCTGGGAAGTGGCAGAAGCTATTGCTCATGTGTGCAAAACAATATCTAATCTGCTGCAGCGTGATGAGGGTCAAGGGTTGATCCTCCTACTCACAAAGTCATTATACGATGCTTATTTGCAATCGAGAGCAATAAAAACTGACAATGACAAACGTCACGCCCTCATAGATGAGCACAACGTAAAGTGTTCCCATAGCAATGTGACAACCGTAGCTATAAACACCACAGGTAGAAAAGCTGCAAGATCATCAAAGTATCTCCAAACTGGGACAGTCAGCTACTTTGAATGAGTATCAGAGTTGTCTTTTTACAGACACAGCAGCAACTCATGATCTCGAAGTTCAATTAGTCAGCTTTCACATGGCAGCGCCCTAACAGATCTGACACTGCAGTGTGTGGAGAGCACACACAGTTCGTTATCAGCTGTTCCCAGAGGCCCTGCTCGAAGACGCGTGTCTATGGCAACCTGCATGTCTGCCATTGTCTCACATGACTGTGTTTAACGCAGCACAGTGAGAACAACGGCCACAATAATAGATGTGGACATGGCAGATGTTGGCACGCAACACAGTGCCATGCAAGGGACCAAAGAGAAACACACAAAAGGCTTTCTTACACACGATAAAAAGAAACTTCAAGCTACACAGGCCAAGGAGGGAGGGAGGGAGAAGAGTTTGCCACATGTGTAAACCTTTCAGGATGATGTAACCTCTCCTGTAGGCTGAGGGGTAGTTTGGAGAAATGGTGCTGAGCCAGTTGGAGTCCATTTATTCTGTAGCTTCAGCAAAGGGCCTGCAAAGCTGCTCAGCCTCATGAAGTCCCTTACTACAAATGCCCTGCATTTAAGAGAGCACTAGGAACAAAACAAGTGAGTTTTCTACTGAATCTAACAAAACAGGATGACTCATTTAAGGCAACCAAAGTGCAAAACTTGTAACCCAGAGTGAGTTTGCACCAGGTTACAAATGCCTGTTTCCATTTATTTTCATTTGCAGATAATTATTGTTTTAATTAGACTTTCCACAAGTATTTTATTCTCATCTGTGTCTTTCACAAGTGTGATTGTATTTCTCAACCGTCGCCATTAAAGAGTTCACTCTCTGGGTCAGTGACACCCCGCTTCAACACGCCCTCTCCCAGCCAAGACCCCATAAGTCCCTGCCTGTCCCAGCCCCATGCTCCCCCTTTTTCCTTCACTCTGCCATTTTCCCGCCCTACAACGCTGAGCTGAAGAAAAGGAAAAACAGCCGTTCACAACCCTCCACCATCCCTCACCAGTAGATGCAGATGTATAAGCCATGGAAAAAGTGTGGTTAAGTTAATTGAAATTACTGATAGCTTCATACAAATTGTTAATGATGTTGTTGTGATGTGTTGCCTGGGAAAAGGCACTTTGGAAGCCCATTTCCCCCCATTTCTCATTCCCTGGCAAATTATGGAAAAAGTAAATGTGATGCAATATTTGTAAATTAAGAAACAAACGCATTATCAAAAGCTTCTTAATAAATTATCATAATCTAAAATGTAAAAGCAGCATAAACAGTTATGACATTAAATAACAACCAGTGTCAGAAACAAACACCACTGATGACACATGCCTGCAACCTATCTTTCATACCGTTGCCTTAACAGTGAGATAACCTTGGATAACTTTGAATAACCAAAGTAGTCTATTTACACAGATCTCTGATGGCAGACAGTGTTTCCCAAAACAACTAACGACATATTCAATGACCCTAGTAACCATGAATAGATTATATGCACGTCCAACACAATCCATCACTATAATAATCTAAGTGTTAAGCATGAATTTCCACTGCAGAAGGCGAGCACATGTTACGGTGTTTAATCTGCTGTTACGGAGCTTTTGTGAAAGGATTAGCGCCGTGTTGTCAGCATGGCAGCATTTTCCCCACGATGGGAGGAAAGCTGCATCCGCCCTGCCTGTGACACATGGCCACGGAGGGTTGTGGATAAATACAATTAAACTCAATGCGACATATTGTTCTAGCGTTAGTGCCACATATAGCAAACGTCGTAAATGAATTAGCAACGTATAGCTAGTATGGATGTAGCCACGCAAAACCAGTAATAGTGCGCAGAAATACAGCTCTCTTCATCAGAATGCACTGATGTGTGTTTATCAAAGTATCTCAAAATGAAAAACTTCTCAAAGAGACGTGTGCTCGGTCTTACCTTCACAAACAGCTCGATAACGGGCTCGTCGTCTGACTTTACTCCGTTCTGCGGTACCGACAGCGACATTATGGTGCTTCTTTCTGAAGTTTTTGCGAACAAAGATTAGTTTTTTCTTGCTACCACGCCCGATTTAGCTCAGTCCTGTTGTCCACCTCTCTTCTTTTTTTTCCGCACTGGAGCCCAAGTAGGCGCGTTTTCTCCCGGAGGAGGACCCGGTGCTGGGAACACAAGTCTGTTAAGCCAAACGGACGAGGAGGCAGCGGTGAAAGCCAGATACACAACTGTTTTTAATATTACGGTATGACTTTAATCACGCTGGGCTACAAACACATCGTAGAGGCGCGCGGCTCTTTATGCTGGGTTAGTGTGATGAGGAGGCGGGAGGGAAGAAGAAGCAACGGGAATATTTAAAGCGGTGATGTCATCCGAGGCGCAGACAAGTGGGAGGGTCTGAGGGTTCTTGTTGGGAGGAGGGTGAGGAGGAGATGTAGAGCAGAAAACTGAGACCACTGCAAAATTATCATTTTCTCTGGTTTTATTATTTATAGCTATGTGTTTGAGTAAAATGAATTTTTCTTTATGTTATTCTAAAACCAACTGACAACCTTTATCTGTGTTGGAATTCAACAGACACTGCGGAATGGCTGCCACACATGTAGAAATTGAGATTTAACCCTTGTGTTATGTTCACATTTCGCACCCTTTGGTAATGTTCGGGTCAAATTGTCCCGGGACATATTTCAGGGTTTAAAAAAATACAGAACTAAATTCAACATGCACAATTCCTTATATATATTGTCTTTAACTCATTCCCCAACAATTAAATGAAATATATGATTCGTTTTTGAAAATACTCTTTGCTAGATCAAATGTAACAATGGAAGTGTCCATCGTTTTTTGTGATAAAAATACACTGTAATAAAAACTAGGTTTACATTTTGCTCATGCTTTTTTAGGACAAATGTAAATGAAACATTTTTTCATTAATGTTTATTATTTTTAATGTGGCTGTGGGGGTCCTTCAGCGGCTGGCTGTGGGGGTCTTCCAGCAGCTGGCTCTGAGTCAAGTTCATCTTCCAATTCGCTGTCAAATTCTGAGTTTACCTCCACATTATCCTCATCTTCAGAAATGTCTTCCTGTTCCACTTCACCGTGTTCTTCTAATGCATTCCACTCACTCTCATCCATTATTAGCTCCAAGGCTCTCTGAGCAGAATATCTTTTGGCCATTTTGCTGGTAGATAATTGTAGTTCTGCACTATAGGCTACACTGTAATGCGAGGTTATGTCTCTGTTTAGTCCCTCCTCCGGCGTGCAAGTGCGAGGGGGACAGTGCGAGAAAATGTAAAATGTTTATACATTTCTGGAAGATCTAAAATGTTTATAATTTTCTAGGATAGTTTTGTGAACATTACATTGCTTTTAGCTGACGCACACTACAGAGGGTAAAGATCAAGGTACAACAGGATTAAACAGCTTCTCTATGCATACAATTTTGTGTGTGTGTGTCTTTAGTTTGTGTGTTTCTGTGTGTTTTTCTCTGTCTGTCTGTCCTGATATTGTATCCGGGTCAGATTGACCCGAACCTCTTATGAAGGACATAAATGCGGGTGGGCATTTTTTCACAAGTGGAACAAAATAAAAACAATTCCACATGTCCTTCACAATAAATAAGCTCCGGCCATTGCGTTTCAGGTTGAACGAAAATATCCTTGTTTTTCTTTATTCATTGAAAATGGAAATCGGGTCAATTTGACCCGAACACCACACAAGGGTTAAGAAAAGTTTGCAGTGGTCACTTAATTTTTCCAGAGCTGTATAGGCCTGCTGTCTTTTGTCAAGAAATACAAACATTTTTATTTTCCAACAACCACTAACTTCCCCGTGGGTTTTTCCATTTAATTTACGTATTTATTGGAATGGTTCGAATGCAAAAAATAAACAAGTTTTTATTTATTTTCCGTATATATTTGTGGGCTCTCTAGGGAATTAACTTTATGTGTGTTGCATTATTTTGGCAGATCAGTTATTTTTCTATTATACATTTATTTTAACAAATGTTTATTTCTAATGTCTCTCTTTACTTGAATTTGCATTTTTACTTATCCTATTTTTAACTTACTTAACCATTTATTTCGACAAAGTCACAAGCTATTTGCCATTACAATTTAACAACATTCAGAGATATACTTTCACTGACAACAAATATAAAGAAACTATTTTAGGTCGGCTGCGGGATATTCATACTTCGCCTAAACTAGCATTACTTTTGTTTAACTGTTGAAACAGGCAGCATGTGTAGTGGTAGGTTTTTGACTTTGCAGGTCCATTGGATCATCATTGGTCTCATTTCAGTCAAGGCAACATCCCAACCATAGACTTCAGGATAACCAAGACAAGTGGGATCCCAAGCCTTTAACCTTTGCATTTTTTGTTAATTACCTCAATAAAATCTGTCAGTTTTCACAGATCCCATCCAAAACAGAAATGACAAAAAAAAATCTCACAATTAAGGAAAGCACACGTCCTATAAAAAGGTTTTAATTCTGAAAGGAGGACAAGATGACAAGAGCCAGGGGTACTAAATACAAATAATAGAGCAGTCCCACAGCGTGTTGGAAGGGTGTCAACATAAAATTGCATATTAATTATTTTAGAAAAATTAAAGCATACTCCATGTCACATTAGATTGTTGTAGTCTTAAAACAAGACTATTTCAAAGTCAGAAAAAAAAGCAGGTTAAACAATGCTAAACACTTCCTTTAAGTTACTATATGGGACAAGACATTCTGTTAGGGCCTCTGATAGTTCACACAGCTGTGCAACTGTTCCACTAATAAGAGGCATTGGTAACAGTATGTTACTGTATGTTGGTTTTACTCTACACTCCATAAGCTCAGTGGGTCATGCACTTCAGAGACGATCACTGCACATGCAATCATTTCTCATATGGAATCTATTGTATGCTGCGGTAAACCTCTTAAACCTGTTAACTCAAACCGTTACCCTGCTCAACAATTTAAAATGATGGACAACACAGGCTTCATCACAGTTAAGATAATACACTAACTGACAAATCAAGCTCTTAATGAAACACACTCTTCAGAATGTACCAAACCAGTAAAAAGAAAACAAAAAAAGACTTGAGATTTAACAATTTGTACATTCTAAAGCTGAACCAGGTTGATGACAAACATCAAGAGTGAGTGGAAAAATTCAAAAGTGAGAAAGCCAGTCGTTTTCAGGACATCTGGGATGGAGACAGCTGGGCCTTCCTCATGGACCGTAGGGCTTTCTCTCTTAGGTGCTTCTCCAGGCCGGCCAAGCTGTCCTCTACTTCACTATCTGATTCCTAAACGGAAAACAGCATGAAATACACGCAACTCCACTAGCCACAAATACAGAAAGTTGGTTATATCTGTCCCGTTGAGCAATAGGCCTGGAAAGCTAAAAAACAAAGAAACTAGACATCACCTTTCTTGACTCTCCGTCCTCCGCGCCGTGGTTTTCATGTGCATCACCGGTCACAGCACTACCACTCTTCTCCTTCTTATGCTTCTTGTGCTTCTTGTGTTTCTTCTCTTTCTTGTGTTTCTTTTCCTTCTTCTTTTTCTTCTTCTTTCCACTGCCATCAACATCGGAATTCTGCAATGAAACAGATTTTTATGAGGACAAGGTTAACAGTGCAACTAAAAACACCACAAACCATAAGAAAGAGATAATGAGAGCTAATATAACCAGAGTACACATCGTAAGGTATCTGCATACTTAATAATAATTCAACCTTCTCCAATAAGAACTAAAACACATTTGATAGTTGTTTTTTTTACTAAATGCAATCGTCCTTGAGTAAACTTAGAAAAAATATCCATAATATTCAATACTCAAGTTATAAAGCCAAACAGACAACCATATAAGTAAATAAGCTAAAATATCAAACCTTGCTTGGGGATTGGCTGCCGGAACCACTGCTGGCTTTCTTTGCTGGTGGTGGAGACCCACTGGCAGAGCGGGAGGGTGAGGGGGAGGCAGATGCAGGGACGGGACGTTTCAGAGCTGCTGGTTGAGGGGAAACAGATCTGGAGGCTGCTCTCCTCATGGGCTGGGGGCTCGGAGAGGGTCTTGGGAGAAGAAAAAAAAGGGAAGATTTAAAAAGGGTCGCAGGGCCATGCACAATACATGCTATATAGTACAAAGAGATAGAACAGCAGTATTCTGAATAAATAAATAAATAAATATTTAAAAATAAATTCAATGTTACCTCTTGTTGTTGCGTGGCTCTGGGGTACGGGACACTCGGCGGATGGGTTTGCCGCTGTGTGTCGGGGACTGCTGCCTCCGCGGGTTAGATGGAGATGCACTGGAGTTTTCAAAACGTCCCTGAGGACTGGTGGAACCCCGAACAGGTCGACCGCGGGTTGCGGGGGACGGGGAGAGGCGGCCAGCTGCTGCCACAGGGGATCGTGGGTCCCTGCTTAGTCTAGCAGAAGGCAACATGGGGCTCCTCCGGTGTCTGGGTGGAGATGAGGAAGGAGACATGCGTCTCCTTTGAGGAGGGGAGTTTCTGCGCTTGGGGGACCTGGAGGGGCGTCGCTTGGCCCCTGGAGAAGAGCGCTTTGGGGGAGAGCTAGACATCTTCCTCTTCTGTGGGGGCAAAGGTGAGGGGCTGTAGCGACGCTGGATAGGGGGAGAATATCGTCTGGGGGATGGAGAACGACGACGGGGAGGCGGGGAAGGGGACCTGGGTAGGAACAAATGTAATTGTTACACTTTTTTTTTTTAAAACCGTAAATATAATTTGACAAATTAAAGCTCTAGATATGATATAAAGCTGCACATACCTTCGTCTAGGAGGAGAAGGAGATCTGCGACGTCGTGGGGGAGACGGGGAGCGCCGTCTGCGTGGAGGAGATGGAGAGCGTCTTTTCCTGAAGGAGTACAAACACAAACAAAATGTTATACATGTGGACAACGCTGAACATGGGCAACTTAAAAACATTTGATTCAACAATAAGTTAAAACATTTTGATAAAAATGTACAAAAACGTTGTCTAACCTTGGGGAGGCATCTCTGTGTCTCCTCCGTGGTGACGGTGTTCGGCTGCGTCTCCTCCTCACATCCCCGTTTTTGGCTCCCGGCCCGGCTGTTGGCCTCTTGGGCCCCTCGTTTTCAGAGGAGGAAGATCCTGAATCTAAAACCAAACAGACAAAGGACATCAACAACTGTTTAATTGTAGCCATAACTGTATGAAGTGAGGGGAAAAAACACTAAGGTTGGGGTTAAGGGCACGGCTTCAAAAGTCCATGAGACGATGAGTGCAAGATGACATGGACAGAGACTTTGTCAGATGGGGCTTTCACACCAATGCGGTTCCAGGGCCGGTTCGGAGCTAGAGCCTGAAAAGCACCGGTTTTTCCTGTTCACACCGCAGCGGAGCCGCCTCTAAGCTCCGGAATCCGGTTTGTTTCAAGCACCAAAAAATTGTCGGTCTAGAAGCAAGAACCGAATACGCCACGCTTACGTCGGAGGGCGGCAAGATTAACCTGAGCTAACAGTTAAAGGCGAGTACGGCAAATAAAAGTTGTAACAAGCAGTAGTGCTGAGCAAAGTGACTAGAACGCAACCACACACTTGTAAAAAAAAACACGCTTTATAAAGTCAGGCAACACTAACCAGGCTTCTTGTGATTCTGTTTATTTGTACCTTACTTTGACCATCCGTTCGCTGTTATTGATCATTGTGGAGAGCAGGCAGACGTTTTGTTTGTTATTATAGCAGCTATCGGATGGAATCAATACATGGGCTGCACAGGTTGTCATGTCCGACTATCACAAGTAGAATCACAAAGAAAAATATGCCGGTAAAATGTGCCGGATTATGCCACAATAGGATAGCAACAAGTAGTCAAGATAGTCAGTTTAGCTTCGGTTGCTATGCTAACATCACCCATTTTATACCAGATAAACTTTAATAACAGCGTTGTGATGCCAAACAGCGTCAATTCAGACTGACACACATTCACTTAAGGGGAATTGGGGATATGTATCAGCTGCTTGTGTGACAGTCAGACAGTGAACACTTTAGAGCCGTGTGAGCTAACCCGGAGCTAACGGGAGAATACACTCCCGTTGAAGAGCAGCCAGCACTGCAGCGGTCAGTAAATGCCGCTGAAACACATTAATAAACAATGAACCACGGCACTCTGGAGAAAAGTATAAGGTTGGAGCAGTCGTTATTTAATTTAATCTGGCTTCGTATGATTAAAAGCAACACGACGCAGTCCCCCATTGTTGTTGTAGTGAGCGCCGTAAGCGACGTAAACGGTGACGTCATGACGCAGCAGCGGCAGCACCAGTCAGGCTCTGGGCGGTGTGAACAAAACGGGGGCTGAAAATAAAAACCGGTTCCGAACCAACTCTAGCACGGAGCTAGAACGGGAATCGCGTTGGTGTGAAAGCCCTAAGAGAGGTGTTGGGTATGGGAGAGGAACGGGGATAAAAACGCTTTTAACCTGAAGATGTCTGTCGGTTCTGCCTGCGATACTGACGTCGCTGCTGCACCGAATCTGCTGTTGCCTCTTTGTCATTTTTATCCTCCTCTGAAATGTAGAGCATTGAGTGTCTCATCAGTGTCAGAGAACCAGTAAAAAAACTGCCATGGCGAATTAAGATAATATAGAAAAATATGTATATGCCTGTGGCTTGAGTTTAGGGTTTTAAATGGCATAGTGCAATTTGACTAAAAACTACTATTGTCCTTCATGTCAAGTCATAGTTTTTGTTTCCTTTGTTTGTACTCTTAAGTGGGATCCCAATTATCAAAGCAGCTTAATAAATGTGATCACTGTAATGAGGTCCATGGGCATTGATATACTTAACCTTCCCCATCGCTGTGTGACATTGTGCCCCTTACTGCTGAAAACCGGGGCAAGTGGACTGAGCCAAAAAAATGACTGAGAACTCCAGACAGCAGTCATCAAAAATGTTTTTGGCATGAGGCAAAAGGCCCATACAGTTCCTTAAACAGACATAATATAACGCTTACCTGAGTCAGAGCCTTCAGAAGGTCTGGGCTTGGCATTATCAGACGGAGAATCATTCCTTCCCCTTTGTTTTTGCTTTAAACCTAAAAAAAAAGAGACACAAAGAATTATACATGCAATTTCAATATCCATTCCTAAAGCCATGAACACTTCAAATGCACAATACTTATATGTGTCTCTCTGTGACCTCAGTACCAAAGGAATTTTATCATCACATATTAACTAATGAGGAAAATGTATAACTAAACAGAAATAGTCAGAGAACTGAAAGAGTCATGGGGTAGGCAGTATGAGACAAAGAGTTAATAATTATGGCGAGGAAAGAACCAACGGTTAAAGATCATACCAGACGGCCTGGCTGGTGACGCAGAGCCTCGGCCTCTTCTGGCACGAGGAGATGGAGACCGCCTGTCCTTCCCGGCGGGGCTGATGGCTTTTTCAGGATGATGGACCCCCTTTCTGGGTGGGGAGTTGGATATTCTCTTCATTGCTTTTTTAGGAGAGCGAGAGTTGGAGGAGCTGCTGCCAGAAGATGAAGCAGAGCGTGAGCGCCTCCTGCAGGACACAGACATTAGCACATTCATAATGTATTCTCAACTGAGGAAGGATGGTCCAACATCCTATGTAGGGTCACTTGTAGTAACCAATATAATATAAAGTATATTTAATTAAATAATTAAGTATTTTGAAGGATGTGGCGCTGACCTGCGGACTGGGGACCGTCTATGTCTGTTTCTGTTGCCAGGGGGGCCACGCCTGGGGGGGCTCCTACGACGAGGAGACATCCTCCTCCTGGGACTTGGTCTTCTACGAGGAGAGTAGGATCTGCAGTGGGGTATAGTGTTCTATGTTAAATAACTTTTGAAGAACCATAAAAATAAAAATGTGATATGAGTGTTGGGAATTACCTAGAGCGGGAGCGTCGCCTGCGGTTGCGGGAATGAGAACGAGAGCGGTGGTGAGGTCTGTCCCTCCTGCTGTCCTTCTCCCTGTCCCGGGACTTGGGCCTTTCCTCTTTCTTGAGAGGCTTCTCTGGCGAAGATTCTTTGACTTCAGTAACTGGGTCTGGTTTCACCACCTCCACAACTGTGTCACTACAAGTCAGAGAAAGAAGTTTACATTTTAATGTTACCCTTAAGGTTATTTGTTATAACCTGTCATCAAGCTAAACTAAAATACGTATTGATGAATACAAATGTAGTTTTTGATCCAGTTCATTGCTACACTCCGCACCCCAAATGAACCCTAATGAAAATCGAAAAAAAGTAGGACTAAAATAAACATGCAAAACAAGAAAATCTATTAAAGAAATTCAAACTAAAGTGGATTTGAACCTAAAACTTAGAACAATTAAGTTTTGACTTTAAATGCATGGCAATAATGGTACATTTAAGTTTTCTACACACCATGTGGAAGGAGTTTCTTGGATGGCCGGCTCTGGCAGGGCTCCTTCTAATGCATTCGGCTCCACAAGCTGCTCCACAGGTTTGGCTGGCAGCTGCATCAGGGGTGGAGGGGGGGAGCTGCTGACGACTGGACTGGGTTTGCGTCTCGGCGAGCGAGAGGCACTGCGTTTCCTTTCACGCTTCACTGGCGACCTTCGCCGTGGTGACGGTGACCTTGATTTCCTCCTAGACATAGGACGATGCAAACTGAATACGTTTGTTGGTGATAAATGCACTTGTACACCCACTGATCTCCATATTAAACATGTTTTTCTTACCTTCTTGGGCTTTTTGACTGAGCCCTGTCTCTGATGTCCTTTTCCTTCTTATCATCATCAACTTTCTTCAGAGTAGCCAGCTTCTCTTGTTCAATCTACCAAAAAATGGAACCATGGGGGAAACAATCACACATTTCTCCAAAAGTATATAAATAATGTCTATCCTGCAATGTTTATAACATAACTGACATCTGGGAACCAAATAATGTTTTTAATGTTGTCTCAGACTATTGATTGAAATGACATATCAATACCAATTATTATAGCATTTAACAAAAGTGTATAAGAGATTGCGATGGCTGTTTTTACCCATAACAAGTATTTTTGTATCTGTCAACCGCAGAGTTATGGCCTTCTGATAGCTAGAATGTTGCCTAATTGGCATTGGGGGAAGCTTACCTGTCTCTGTTTAATTTCCTCCTTCTTCTGTTCCAGGAAAGCAGAGGGGATGCCAGCAATGTTCTCCTGAGCACTCAGCAGCAGGGGCCACAGGTCCCTCATGAACTCCCGGGCGTTCTTCCCATTCAGAAAGCCTGTCAGGTTGATCTGCATCATCTTGCTATCTGGATTCTGTAACACACACACGAAGGGAGGAGAGAAAAAAAACATATGGCTATTGAAATAATGGAAGGGCAACATAATCAAGGACGGGGGTAGGATCCCACAAGGGACCTACTAGTCCTCACTAGACTATTCCTGGGACTATGTTATCACCATTACTGTATTACTCAAATCATGACTATATAAATAAATGTGACTAATTTAAAATCATACTCACAAACTCATTGAACTGAGAATGTGAGCTAGCTGAGGGGGAGACATGTCTAATGATATAAAAACGGCATGCAATGTTGCCGTTATTCCAATTCCTGATTGTTATTCCCCAAATAAACAATCAATAATACAAGAAAACATTTTTGCCATTATTTGATTTCCTCAGAATTATCCCCTTTACTTTACCTTTCTGTGTCCCTACCCACCCCTTGCTCTCTGGTCTCCCCACAGTCTACACTTCAGGAGTTAAACAAATAGCCACAATACAGAGTGCATTAAAACCCAACACTGCAAGTACAGTTCCGGTGTCTTCAGTGAGTCCCGTGGGATCAGTGGGCACGGAGCTCCCATGGCTTGCTTCCGCCTCCCTACTGCTTGAGACTCAACCACCTTGAGCTTAATGTTATATCACTAAATTGCAAGAGACGAACAAGCAATAATGAGTACATTGTTACACAAAAAAGGAGTTTTATTTCAACAACTGATAGAATTATTCTGAGAGGCCGTAATTTCAATTCAATTTCCTTGTCTTATCATTACGCAACACCCCTTACACTTAGCTTTCCAGCCCAACCCACCCCCCAAAAGCTATGACAAGCAAAAATATCAAATAGAAGGATTAAAAAAAAGTGTGCAGTGATGGTGTCATATATAAATAAATGAATGTGTTTTTTAGCATCTTGTTAGAATAAAAAAGTCACTAATGTGGGTTATTTGCATTTACACAAACATTTGCATTTAAGTATACTGTGGGATGAAATCCTAGGGATAGACTAATGAAGGATACTTTGTGTAAATTACTTGGGTTATTTTCCCCCAATGAACCTGTGAAATAACCAATTGCAGTAAGCATAAGTGGTTAATCAGTGGGCTCCACATTATGATTAAATAAATAAAACCCTTGAAGTCTACTTAGTAGCAAAAGCCTATGAAATAAAGAAGAAGCACAGTTTAGTATTACAAAATGAAATACCTAACATAAGTGGGGCTTAGCATTACAGCTCTACTGGCAAACAATATTGTTTTAAGGTCAAAAACATGACCATTACAGATATCTCAATAGTCTTCCAGTTTAAAGAGTAACTTCATACCAAAAAAAAAAAGAGTGTTGTTTCTTCTGGTTGAAAATCTGCTGTCTGTTACACATCTGATGACACACAACCCAGAAGATGGGTGCTATCCGAGGTTTAACACACTCAAATAAAAATGTTGTTTTTGTTGACCTCCTGTCATTGAGGTTCTCCATCTCCTACATTGATGTAGAGATACACCTGTGGTGTGTTCACATCACTGTAAGGTGTGGTTACAAGTCCACCAGAAACAGTTTTGACCACCCCCAACAGATGTGAAACTTTGAATCAGAGGTGGTCAGTGAGACAATACTTTTTAGCTTGGTGTTAAAGTACTCAAGTTACTCTTTAAAGAATGTAAAGGAAATCATTTTCTCTATGTGGCAAACCCTCCCTGAATTTAACCTATATTTCCAATTACATTGGGCCATTGAATGATGCACTACAAATACCTACGCAATATGATTATGGCATTGTTCAGGTGTTTCTTTCACTAACATGATATTGGTAATCCCTGCATATAACTCACCTCAAACCACACACTGCATCATGAAGGGAGAGTTGGGCTCAGTGACTTTGGGCTCAGGAGAGAGCTAATTAGGTGTTGGTGCTATACTTCAGATGCAAGGTATAACATCCATATTGGTTCAGGCCTTTTAAATCATAAATCACATCATCATTAGAAGACTGCTGAATGAAGGCACTTTGTCACATAACATCAAAACATAGTTATGTCATTATAAATCAGTTTTACACCAATTGTAACTTTACCCATTTTCAAGTTGAACAAAATGTGCAATGGTTTGCTTGTATTCCTTCTAACTAACTAAACATTGCCCTCAAATTCATGACAGTTTTGAAGAAACAAAACATAAACACATTTAAGACATTACCTTCTCCTCAAGCAGGTTAAATATTAACTCTATGACGACATCATCCTCGAATCCCAGAGTTTCTGTCACTCGCTGAGTTATCCAAGGTTTGATGACTTCCAGGTTCACTTTGGTCATGTCCACCTATGGGTGAAACAAGAAACCAACATCACACAGTTAGTAAGACAATCAGTGAATAAATGACTCAAGACTAGTGTCTATGTTTCAGTTGTATTTATCAAAATGTACAACAGATGTGTTACTCTAAATGTGCAACTCCATATAGTATGAGACGGTTTAATATAAATGGTAACACGTCCATTGATGTGATTAGCATGACATTTGGAAATCTCTAAACTATTTTCGGTCCCATCTGAAGTAACACATTGAAAGTGATGCTGATACCATTATAACAATTAAAAACAACATGGATGAAAGGAAGTTTGGACAGTATATTATTGCCTGAAAAAGATTGTGTTAAATTACTCAAGACTACAGTGTCTACATTTCAGTTTTTTCTATCAAAAATGTATCTCTTTAAACAACATTGACTGACAGAAACACATCTAAAACTTAACAATACATTACATTTGATTAAGGCAACAGTTTATTTGGTAATGAAATCTGACATTACCAAATGTCAGATTTGGTAATGTGAATCTATTGTGTCAGATTTTACATCTGACACAATAGTAAAATAACAAGTGATGATGCTCATATACCTTCTTGTCCAGACATTCTGCAAACTTCAGCTGCTTCAGCAGTTTCTTCTGCTTGTTGCTGAAACGGTTGTCTTGCTCCGCACTTGTACCCTAAAGACAAATCAACAATCAAATGGGCTTGTGTACGTTGAGAATCGTTATCACATCTACACGCATGTGCTTAAAACATCTCGCTTTTTTTTTTTTTAATCGAGTTGAAAAGCAACTTCCGTGTTATTTTGTCAGCGTAAATCAAACACCTGCACTTAAACAAAACAGGGGTGCTGACATCCAAATCTAAATACCGAGTTTCAGTTAAGTTAACACAGATTTGAAAACATGTGCTCACACATGACGTTATTATATTATCCTAAATATTAATAAATATAATGTATGTGATAACAGTACCATGTTAAATGTAAGCGATCAAACTGAGTCGGATATGACATTGATACGATGAAGCTAACACTAGCTAAGCTAATCGTTAGCTTGCTTAATCCTTCAAGGGAACCAAAGATGCTAGTTAGCCACTGTCTGGGGGATATTTTGGCCAACAACAGCGTTAATATAGTCCGAACACCACAAGTCATATTAGTTTTGTAATGCAGGACACATGTACGTCTATTTATTATAGCCAACATAAATGGTCGTGACTATCCCTTAGAGACAGAAACGATGTACCGCCCGGACGCCATCTTTAGCCAGAGCTAACACATTATCATTAACTAGCAAGCTAGCAAGTGTGGTTCGACTATTTCCTGCAAATGTGTAAAACTGCATATTAATGTATAAAATACGGTGTAGGCAAGACACAATTACATGCTACTTTAGGGTAACGCCAAATACACGCAAACCCTGGAACTAGCCCAGTTGTAACACGACTGTTGACGAAACCCAACATGGTTCGTCATCAGGTGATAGACGTAGCCCTGACCATAACGTTACAGTCTGACTGTATGGCCCTCCGCCTATATACACAATACTACTGTTCTAACTAAGAAATATACTTCCATGCAACTTTGCAGTAAGACAAAAAAGGGTTAGAAATCATTTTCAAGAACTTACGCGGAAGAATCCCGCGTCCATTGTCGGAGAAAATGGATATTAGCAGGCGCAGTTGAGAAAGACGTGCGTGGCTCGGGTGAGATACTTAGAGGCCAGCCGGATGATGGTGCGCCTCTTCGGGAAGGAAGGAAAACTACATCTACTGAAATTACTGGAGAGCAGAGGGGTAAGCTACATCCTGAGCTTTTAAGTTAAAACCCCTATCACCAGTAAGTGTATAAACATGAAATATGCAGAATGTCACCTTCTGAATGGTTTATTATTGTATTATATATCTATATCTTTATAATTCTTTATGTATTACTGTTTGAGCAACCTTTTTGTATGTAGCTGGTCTTACAGAGGAGGCTACTAATTATATTATTATCATATTTAATTTGTTTATCATGTATTTTGAAGGTCAACCCTGTTTTGCAAAGTAACTAGTATGTATGATGATCTAAATGTAATGGTGTAAAAAAAATAAAAAATCTCTGAAATGTATCAGAGTATAAGAACACGTACCTTCAAAATGTACCTATTTAGCAGCATAATCAGTACTACTGTCTGTTATCATTATCATCCTAAACTTCATCATCGCCCACTCAGTTATAATTACTATATACATGTAGATACATGAACTCTTCTTTTTTTTAATATACCACGTTATAAATTAACTTAAAGATGTCTGAGTGTATCGTTATCCTTTCTTTCTCAACACCTGACCAACACTAGTTACATGGATGTAAATGTTTGGCAGTCCTTAAGTAATTCAACCATTCGCAAAAATCACAGCTGTTTGGGTAAATATCATGTTTATTGTTCAAGATCTTAAGTCAAAGTACATTGCTTTCCAAAGTAATCCACAGTTAACAAGGCTTCTTTTGTTATTGCTGCTCATTCATAACTAAAATCACACTGTTCGCAAAAAAGGCAAAATAAAGGCTTCTTGTTAGATGCCACAGCAAGGGTAGTGGGATTGCATTGTGTGTGATATTTATTATAAAAGATTGCATTTTAAAACACCCAGAATTGTGTCATTACAGTCCAGAGGTAACTGAGCAAGCCGTTCCAGATGATCCTGGAATCAAAATGTACAACAGATGTGTTACTCTAAATGTGCAACTCCAAATAGTAGGACAGTTTAATAGAAATGGTAACATTTCCATTGATGTGATTAGCATGACATTTGGACAACTCTAAAGTATTTTTCCGTTCCGTCTGAAGTAACAGATGTAAAGTGATGCTGATACCATTATAACAATTAAAAACAATATGGATGAAAGGAAGTTTGGACAGTATATTATTCCCTGAAAAAGACTGTGTGTGTTTGAGTGTATGTGTGTGACGTCTCACTGTCCACTGTACATTGAGAGCATCTGACTGAGAATTCCCACTTTCATTTACTAATTCCCATGTTCATTGCTGCACTGACCAGAGTAACACTGGGATACTGGTGGACAACTTGTGAAAGGAAGTGTCGTATATGCAGGCTGAAGCAAAGTCAAACATATGTCATTGGTTAGCCTTTGTGTTCCATGTATCGCTAGCTGACTGGCAAACCCTCGTTTGTCCTCTTCTCTCGAATGGATCTCAGCATGTCTGACACCAGCTCCTCAAGCGCATAAGTTGGCGCCCAGCCCCAATCTCTCCTGGCATTGGTGTCGTCAAACCTGACCGGCCAGCTGTCTGCTGCAGAGGGACAAGCAAAATTACCCAATTACTATTAGCATATTACAAAGGTAGCAGTATGAGACACATATCCTTTAAAGATAAAACTTAAAAGAGAAGTTTGTTTGATTTAAGCTAAAAACTAATTTCCTGCTCAGTGATCAGGCACACCATATACCGCTTGTTGAGTGCCACCCCTAGCACACATATGGTACACATCTGCAGAATTGGTCAGTTCCACACTCCCTGGTCCTTTTCTGTGTAATTAGACCTGCATTGGATTCTGGTAGCAGGTTACTATAGATACAATGCGGTGCAACATGGCGCAATCCTTTGAAGAGGACCCTCTCCCTTCATACTTCATCTTAACGGCTCATTCTAACCTAACAAAAACACAACTATTCCTAACTTCTGGTGATTATAAAACAGTTAAAATATTACATTCCATTTATGCCAATAAAAGCCTCTAAATCCTTCTCACCGCTGCTTTGGACACTTTTAAAATGTAGGTTTAATTAAATGCCACATCCTTTAATGTCTTTTGCCATCATATGAAAGATCAGTCACTTTGCAGTTTTTAGATTAAAGTAAAGAATTGTGTCATCTACATTTCTATAATCAGCCACCACAGCTGGATTTTTAAAACCATTTATATTTTGACAGAGCTTTTATGTGTAGGTATGTGTACCACGTCCTACCGATGTTCTGGCGGACAGAGTCAGGATTGTAGGTGACTTTGAGGTGAGGGAGATGCTTGCGGATCTCCTGGGCCACTTCCTCTGGAGTGAAGCTCATGGCGGCGATGTTGTAGGTACGCAGAGACAGCTGGCAATCTGGTGCCTGCATGAACTCTATTGTGGCACGGTGGCAGTCAGAGATATGCATCATGGGAAGGCGGGTGTCGGGACGCAAGTAGCACTCATGGTGCCCTGTGCTGAGAGCATCGTGGAAGATTTGAACGGCATAGTCTGTGAATAAAAGAGCCCAGAGCTTAGTCCACAACATCAAACTGATTGTACTGAATATCTGTGGCAGATAGAAAGTGATGCAATACCTGTAGTTCCTCCCCCGGGGGGGCCGTTGACTGATATCACACCTGGGTAACGTAGGCAGCGGAAGTCCAAACCATATTTATGATGGAGATACTAAAGAAAAACACAAATATTATTTAAGTTTAACAAATCTTTCCTGTTACCTGTAGTGCTTTTTATCAAGCTAGATGTCAGCGATAAATGGCACTTCATAATAAAAAGATGTGTTTATCCATGATTGCCACACCTCCCCCATCAGTTCTCCATGCACTTTGGACACGCCATAGATGGTTCGAGGTCTTTGGACACAGAGGTCAGGGGCAGGGTCACGTGGAGAAGAGGGGCCAAACGCTCCGATTGTGCTGGGGACAAAGATGCGCAGGCAGTTCTCTAGGGCCAGGTCCAGCACGTTATGAAGGCCTACATGGACAGCAGAAAGCAGGGTTTAATTATAAAGAATCCATAACAAATTGTACTTTTAAATGGTTTATGCTTTCAGCTCCCCTGTGATGTTGATCTTGCGTGCCAAAGCCATATTGGCCTCCCCTACAGCACTAAGCAGAGCGCTGTAGTGGACCATCCAAGTGATACGATTATTCACAACCAGTTCTCTGAGATGTTTGTAGTCCAAGACATCAGCGTATACAAACGGACCTAATAGGAAAAGAGCAGGTAAATAGATCAATTAAAGAGAATAACTAATGATTCAGCAACATGGAAATAAGATGTGCATTCTGTGAGGAAGACACAACAAAGAAGGTGAAAATATTTAGAATTTGGTTTTGCATACCACTCTCCAAAACATGAGGTTGAGGCTTCTTAATGTCAGACAGGATCACATTGTCCTTTCCGTAATGTTTCCTAGACATAATAAATATATGATAAATAATAAATACATTTAAAACATTTTGAAAAGCTTTCATATATGCGAAGTCCACGTATCTCACCTCAGTATCTGTGCCAGTCCCGCACCTAACTGCCCAAGACCACCTGCGCACAGAAACCACGTTTATTTATATTTTATATTCCGAGGAAACACATACATATTTGGTGGTTACATGTTTGGTATGAAAATGCAACTAATGTTTTTTGTGAGCACCACATTTCAGCTTTTTTGTTGTTTGTATCAAAGCTTTATTCTGGGACAAAAAGTGACAGCCAGCTATTATTCACCCCACTCATTGGCTCTTTTATGTCACCAGTGCTGTCTGTACACATCCTATTGTGAAGAATCAAAATGAGGTCCTGCTGCCGGTGCACCGTAAAAAAACAACTCCAACAAATAAAAATGACAGCACATGTCCAGTACTGCCTCATGTCATTGATGCCACAGTATGAGTCTTTCCTCTTTTAGTCTAAACATTGGATATGTTGGATAGAGTTACTCTCTTATCACCATTTAAAGGTGCTGTTGGCCACTCAACAGGGGCTGCACAGTGAAAGTGGTAGAAAACAATGGCAGCTTCAGTGTTTGTGTAGATGTGACAAAGACTGTCATCAGCTATAATGTTGCAGAAAATAAAGTGATATTACCTGTGATAAGGATACGGGGGTTATTCTGTGAAGGTAGGGGGCTGCTGGAGTCCCGGCTGTTCCACCTGCTCATCTGCCGGTGCAAACCGCTGAGGCTGAGACCAGGCAAACTCCGTGCCCTGCTGAGACAATCTCGGCAAAACGGGCCCAGCGCAGCCGCAGTGGGCACAAAGACCCCCGGGTGCATGTCCAGCAGCAGTCCTTAGAAAAAGTGAAATTGTGATGATACAGAATATCTATAATTTAGGTATGATTATTAAGGCAAATACAAGTTGTGTTAAAATAACATTTAAACCCAAATTCAATTGAATAGTACACAGAAGAGTGTTTTACCTGACAAAACAGAAATCCAAGGCAGATGATTCTTGTTGCGAAACCAGCTGATGCAACTGCGTCAAACTATAACTGTTTTATGAAGCTGACACTACAGTTTTCCAGGTTTTTAAGTGTCAGAATTAAAATATTATGATCCGATAGGTCACCGTTCCAGTTCACCTAACCTGGATAAATAAGCAGGTGTAGAAAGACAACAGGGCTTGTGGCTCTTTACTGAACTGGACTACAGTCTCCAGCTTCCAAAGCTGCGTGTGTGCAAACATGCTGACTTGCAGTGCACAGGGATTTCTATTGTGAACAGTGTTTAGCTGAGCTTAACAGGACTGGGAGGTGTGTTTGTTATGCAGTCTTATTCTATTCAAAATAGCTAATTGTAAATAAATGTTAAAAAATCATAAAATAAAATGCAAAACATAAAACATTTGAGCAGAATTTAAAACACCAAAGTACATTGTTAATATATAGTGGGCCAGAACAAACATACACGTAACATTTTATTATTATACATTTTTTATGAAAAATACTGGACATTTTAACATGATAAGTTGTAAAAAATAACAAGTCGAAAGGCATTGCACATTGGTAACATGTTCTACATGTTCTGAATATCTTCACTTCTTCATGTGCTGGCAGGACAACTGCTGAGAGCCAGCTTCCCCCACTCAATGACCATGTTCCTGATTTCCTCCTGAGCCTCTTCTAAGTGATGAGTCTGTGGAGTCCACCTCAGAAAAAAGCCTTAGGAAGAGACATAGACATAGCGTTGATAAAATCCTAGAGTTGAAAAGTAGCAAAGTTGTAGGGTTACGACTCTAAATTATAAAAGCACTAGGGGATATCATATTGAATGAGTATCGCTGCTGAAACAAACCACAGGTAAAACAATTAAGATAATGGAACGGACATTATTCCGCAGTTTAATTGGTGGATGAAAATATGAATTTGGTGAAATGTTGAGTATTCTGCTAAATACATTTATTGGCCTGCATTTATATAATGCAAAGCTCTATTGCTTTAACTGTAATCGACTTAAAGAGCGCAGCCTCTACATAAACAGTATTGTTTAGTGGCGGCATGCACTTGGCAATACAACATTTTAGATTTTTTTTTAAATACATTTCAAAAGTCAGAACTGTTCTTTGTTTTTGCTGTGTTAGCAATAGTGACGTCACTTAATTGTGGTTAGATCAGAGCTATGGAATATTAAATCATGCATCTTTACTCACTACAGATTATCCTTTCTTACCCTAAATTTGCATTATGAGGTTATGAACGTGTTCTTAAAATACCTCTTCTAGGTATTGGCTTTAAAATGTAACCATCCCTGGAATACACCAAGGCTCACCTCTCCAAAGCTGCAGGGACTGAGGGTAGACTGAGGGCCAGATTGCCAGCTCGGTGTGCTCATACAGCGGGTTAGAGTAGCAGTCTCTCTCCCTGGGCCTCAGCAGAGCCTGGAACAAACAGTGAGTGTTCTCCTTCACTCCCAGAGCACACCTGAGAGGGAGGAGCAAATGTCAATGGATGTAAATGAAAGTTAAAAAGTTGAATTTTATGCTTCCATCAATTCCCTAATGCCCCGTTGCACTGACCTCTCCTGCTGGTTGTTACCCAGGAAGGTGCCGTAGTCCGATGCGTAGGCCTCGGTGGCCAGCCGGAGGAGCAGCGCCTCAGAGAAGCCCAGCGCCAGGGGGAACTGCCGCCACAGCTGCCACACGCAGTCCAGCAGCAGCAGGAACACCGGGGACTCCTGCTGCAAGCGGGCGTGGGAGTGGGCCGAGTGGGCACAACGCTGCTGGAACGGGTGACCTGCCTTCAGAGAAGAACAGCAATATCCATATTCATACATATAGTACAGTATATAGACATAGAGTGGCAATTCCAACTTATTGAGGAGAGAGACACTTCAAGTGAATAGGGTAAAAACATTAACTTATAGATATCAGCCTTAAACCAGTTGATAACTTACGTTAGTCAGTTTTGTACTTCACATTTTAAATGTAACAAATGATGCATTATCTTCTTTTCTATGTGCTAATTTGTATACATTTCTGGACCAGAAATCTGCATATTGGATAAAGCCAGGTTCATTATTCTGGTATCACTCAATCTATTGTGGTCAGGTTTATAGGAATAAAATGTAATAAGAAAATTAGGCTATGCACGATAAATCAACAAAGCCCTCCGTGGAAACCTTCACAATATAGATGGGAATTCAACTGGGAAGTTTGTTATATGTACATGCTACTAAAGTGGAGATTTCTGAGTATGTGAAATATATTTTGTAATGGGAATTAAATGGGGTAAATAAACATGTTAACTAATTGAAATAAAAAAACAAGTTTAAATATGCTAATTAGTCATTATCTAAAGCTAACTCTCTGTTAGTCTTGGATACATCTACAGACACACTGTGAAGGCTTACAACCACTGTTTAGTTTAACAGTAGTTAAGTATGATGTTGAAAAATTCCGAAAAAATTGTTTCCCTTAAATGTTGATAAATGTTTCACTGGAGGTGGAATTGTTAGAGAAAATTCACCACGGTCAAAAGGTGAAGAGAAGCAAGTTTTGTTTCTGCCAACAGCAGCACACTAAATGTGATTTTTTTGTTTTGTTAAGTCATTTCCTGTTAAGGGTAGAATGTGGAGCAATTTCCTTTTTAGCAAGAGATTTGGTCATAACCACATGTAAGATTGTGAACAGCTCTGCAGCCAAACTACAAGTGTGAGTAGTAACAAAATCCAATATGCTCTTATTTTGGATGTGACAAGAAAATGTATTTCAGACTCAAAAACTCAAACGGTACAAAAACAATTGAAAATACTAACTTATTTAATATAAAGTGCGCCTGTTCTATTGATACTATTTCCATATGCCTTGGTTTTGCCACCCTTTGCTTATGAGAATCAGTGTTTTCCAAGTATTTTTCTCAAACACACACTCTCACCTGTACCCACTCCCTCTCCAGCAGAGTCAGGAAGCCCTCCAGTGTGCGGCAGCTCGGGTCCATGATGAGCTGAGCCAGAGTGCTGATGAGCAAAGTGGAGTCTGTCCCCTCAGAGCCGTGCACCAGAACTGAATGACCGTCCCTGGACAAAACCAATCCACAAACAGTCATTTACCTCTACATAGGATATAAGTGAGTAGAAGAAAAAACACACATACATGCATTTATTTATTAGCAGTTACAGTAACCCCCGTCTGATGAGGATTATTATTATTATAATGTCCTAGAGGTGTCTTTGTTGTCGCTTGCATTATTTGTTATGCTATACCCTCATTCTTACATGCATGTGCAGCCTTTGCCTGTGTTATTTTACTGTCTTTTAGTATCATATTAAAGGGGTCGAAGCAGCAAAGCATTGCAGCATTCCACCCACTACTCAGGTACATAATCAACCTAATCGACCTCAAGGTGGTGCTGTAACAATCAAGTGTTTGCCATTATCTCAAAAAGGGCTTGGATTCGAGTCAGATCCCTTCATCATTTAATGTCTTAATTCATCTGCATTTCTACACCAATCTGAATTTAAAATGACAATTTTCTTTACTTTTCTCTATCTTCTAATCCCATCTTCTACAACTCGTCAGAAACCAATTGTCCCAAAACGGATTTGGCTGATCTAGGGTTATCAAAGAGATTTGGTCTGACTGTCCCTATAAACACTAATATGATTGAAGACAAGGGAACACCTTCTGTATTCGTACTACAGACATACTCCCGGGTGTAGTTCGTACCTCTCCACACACTCCGCCAGCAGGCCAGCTGTTGACAGAGCAGTTTGGACGTGAGACAGCCACTTTGAATTTTCAAGCTTACTGAGCCAACGGTCCATATTATTGGACTCTTCTCCGCAGGCCTCCACCAGTTTAATCAGACTCTCCTGCAGCGCTTTACCCCTGCATATGAAGACAACGAGGTGAAGGAGGTACGTTTGAAGGGACATATAAGTGTATATATGTTATATAGAGTTATTGCAGTGGGCAGTAATGTTTTCCTCTACCGGTCCGCTGTCACAAGGACCGATACAGGAAAACATTCCTGCCCGCTGCAATAACTCTATATAACAAATCACCTCTGGCTGGCAGAGAACTCTCTGTTCCATAGCTTCTCTTGGACAACTGGACTTAAAATCACACTGTACATTTTACATTTATATTCTAATATTTCATATTCCATTCCTCACATACTTATGTATATATAATATCCTGCTTTATATTTTGTTACTGTACATTTGTAATTCAACATGTATATTTTCTACTTTTCTTTTAATGCTATTTTATTTCTATTGAGATGTTTACATTTTGGAATGTTTATTTATAGTCTTTAAATTTGTATTGTACAATGCCATGTCTTTGTATGCTGCTGCAACACAAACATTTCACAAATTGGATCAATAAAGTACTTCTTATCTTATCTTATCTTAAAAAACCAATTCACACTCACACACCTCTCCATCTGTCTCTGCAGTCTCTTCCAGCTGCTATAACACGATTTGGACTCCAATCCTCCACCTGTCATCCGGGCCTGCAACGCCTGCTGGCTGGAGCGCGTGTCGATAATGTAACCTTTATCTGAGCCGTCAATCACAGCCTGGAGGAGCTGCTCATCTTCCCTGCAGCGCTTCCTATTGGCTCCCGTCAGAGGCTGACTGCTTCGCATGATTACCTAAAAGGTTGGATAACGTTTTTTTTGTTTAATATATAAATTGTATACTAGCAGTGGAAACACGTGAAAGCCCCTCACCATGCCGTTCTTCTTGTGGTAGTAGCAGAGCACAGGGAAGCGTCCTCCCTGTCTGAATTTGGCCACCTTCTCCAGCATTTCATCGTCTGTGCTCTTGGGGACGATAACAGCTTGAGGGTAAGAGGGACACACTGAGAAGTCTCTGTTCACGGTGCTCAGTCTCCACCGATCATGCTGCAAACAGAGGAGAGAGAAACTGTATTTTAACTTTATTACACGTAACATGC